CGCTTTGTTATGACCAATGCACGTGACCTCTCAAGATACCTTCATCATATTTGAAAAGTTCGCTGGCTAGGAAACTTCGTAGGGTCAACATTTCATTACATTAAATCATAATTAATTAAAAGTCAAAGTAATGGTTTTATGTCCATATTTTTTAACATATTTACAACACTTCGTATAATTATTAAATTTATTATTGGATTAAATTATAACTAAATCTTTGGAAATTCAACTAAGAAACAATCACTATAAGAAAGTTGTCATCAATGATTTCAAGGAAACAAGATCGCTTATTTCCCACCACACAAGCTTGAGCTATGTACAAAACCAAAGAACTAATTTATTAATTTACAATTATAAACTTCAAATTGAATAATACAAATAAACAATTTCTCTTAAGAAAAAATGGTGGGGCCTTCTATTTTTTTTTCATTTTATTATTATTATTATATTTCCAGCACCCAAAAAGGAACATCAATTATTCAAGTTGGTTGTTGCACATTGATTGCTGTTCGTCCGAAACAACAATTGCGTCCGCATCCCACCAAGTATCCGCGTCAGACTCCGTCACGTTGCCTAACGGCGTGCTGACATTTCTCATGTCCCCCACCGTCACGCCGTTACGTCCGTCATCTCTTACATAAACCTTCTGCACGCCGCCAGATTCCACGCGCAGGGTCTTTCCCACGGTGGGCCCCCACTCCGCCACCACCGTCGGCTTCCGACGCCGCAGGCGCGTGTCCCAAATTTCCACCGCCAGATTCCCGCACGCGCCCTCCCCGGCCGAGACCATCACCGCGGGTGACGCCGTGGAGCTCGCGGGGTCGTAAGTCGAAACGACGCCATCCTCGTAATCATCGAAATCTAATCCCAGCCCGAAGCCTATGCTGTCCCAGAGCTTCACGACGCTCTTGCTGTTGGCGAGTTCTGAGAGGGAAAATATATCTCCGATGCTACCACGTCGTTTGTGCGTGCCGTTTTGGGTCTGGAACTCGTCGTTTTGGTTATCGTCGTTATCGTCGGTACCTCTGACTCGGAAATAGTCTTCCAAACGAATGAAGCTGGAAGACGCGGAGGGTTCGTCTTCGTACTCTGACGACGAGTAGGTTAAATCGTCGTCGTTTTCATAGTCGTCGTCGTCGTCAGTGGAGGAGTAAACGTCGTCGTATTCTTCGATTGAGGGAAGAGAAGGGGCTTTGGTGCGGAAGCGAATGATGAAAATGGTGATTCTGTTGATTATGCTGCCGAAGGTAGCGACTAGGGCAAGAATCACTGCGCCCCATTTGCAGAAATTGTATGCTATGGAAACGGAAGCGAGGGAAGTTGTGATCTGAGAAGAAAAAGATGGGGTTTGCAGAGAATTTAAACCCACTTGAAGATCGTTGATCCTGTCTATCAAAGGAACTTGCATGATTGCGTTACTGCAACAGAGAAAGAAAAAATTGAGATTTTGAGGATCCTAGACTGAAAGCTGCGGAAGAGAAGAGGGGAAGTTGTAGCAGAAAATCGAGTGATTTATAGGCAAACATGAGTAAGAAACTAGTTATGTGGTACTGGGTTTAAAATAAATATATACAAAGTAATTTGTCTGAAACATGTTTAATTTATAATATTAAAACTAAATATCGAATTAATGTTATTTATTTCTTTTAAAATAAATATTAAAAATTTAAAATAATGACTTCAGATTTACAAGTATAAAACTAAAAAGCACACATATTTATAAAATGATAAATTATTATTTCAAAGTTTATAATGTATTTTCTTATACAAATAAAAGTAAAATTTATTAATTTTAAAAATTACTAAGGGGGCATATTTAATTTTCTACAAGTTGGAATTAATTATGCCTCATGTCTTCTCTCTTTTTTTTCCAAAACAACCGCGTCTATCAAACATGTAATTAATTTATTAGATATTTAAATAACATGTATTTGATGGAAATCAAGCTTCAACTGAGTTCGTATAACTAGAAAATAAAATAATGGTTGCTTGTCGGAAGGATATTTAGGCAACAACAAATTATCCAAGGAAGTGGCATAAATAATACGTAATTTTCTTTCTTTAAGTATGTATTTAGATTCAATACCTAGACTATATTGAAGTGATAATTTTAACATCGTAAATATATTTTTAATTAAATAATAATGTATAATAAAATTATTTTACATCGTCAATATAAAATCATTAAACTCGTTTTCAATGCTTTATTTTTTATTCAACTTATTACGGTGAAAATATCATCAGTGTATTTCTTTATTGCATTCATTTAAAATTGATCTTTTTAACAATATGCAATTATGATAGAACGCACTAAATCATGAGTGGTTTTAATAGGAAATGAGTGACATTTAAATTTGATTTATTTTTAAATAATAATACTAAAG